TCAGCTTCCCTTCATTGTGAGTGCACTATTACATAGCTAATAATCTATTTTTCAATTGATGTGCCTGAGCGTGAAGTTATCCTTATTTCAGGACTTGCATTTCTCCATATTTCTCCAGTATACATAATCTGGACGTTCTAAAGCTGAATTTAACCATACCTATAGATTTTATAGTTTATATGCTATTGAAACACAGCCTCTCACTGCTAGCAACTCCCTCATAATTCGTAGGAAATGCTTATCTACCTCTGGTGAGGAAAGTTTGGGGAACTCAATGAAGTACCAGTCAACTTGGCACACTGGAGAACCGCGTACTGCAGGAGCACGTGGTAATGATGGCTATGCTCAGTGATCAGGACTCATCTCTCTTGATCTGACACTATAGACCAAAAAGCTCTGTAGACATTTTTGGTGCCCCTTAACAGAGCAGGACCACTGGATAAAGGGTGTTTCTAAACTTCTACCGACTCTCAAATGGATTTATTTCAGTCTTCTAAGGACTGAAATGTTTTCCATTAACATTAATTCAAAAATAATCAGAGAAGGCAAATACCGTTTTTTAAATAGCAGGGTTTTTTCTTTTCTCCTTCTCTCCCTAAAGAAACCTCCTCTAAAAAAGCTCTATTACACTCTGAATCTACTCTGTTTCTCTTCAAGAGTTTTTTTTTTTTTATTAAATGTGACTTTTTTGCTCTAGTGCATTTGTCAACGTTAGAGTAATTAGCTCAAGTTTCATCAGCGAGCTGGTGCAATCTGTTCAGAAAGCAACTTGGAATGTTAAAAATCCTAATAGGCTTCTCCAGCAACACAGTCAAAGCCTGAGGGATTTGATTTCAGTTCCGTCTAAAATCAGGAGAAGCCTTTTAGAAGATAAATCAATACTACTAAAAAACAAGCAAAAAAGAGAATGATATGTGATTAGGTGAATCTATTTTTCTGATACTTTACGCTGTGGCATACTTTCTAAAATGCAACTGTATTTTTACATAAGGAAAATGGAAATAAAAAAAAAACAAGGCTCCAAACCTGCAAAAATCTCTGAGTAACCTCATGTCTGTGAATAGTCCAACTAAATTCAGAAGTATTTGAATCAGTGAAAATAAAGCTACCTAGTATCTACATCTAATGAAATAGTTACAGAGCAAGGCATTTCTGCACTGTTCTTGATGCTTGCTTTTCTGTGTGTGTGTGCGCACATACTTGTGTGTTTTAGTGCTGACAGAATCACTTAGGGCAGAGATGGGGAACAAGACATTTTTCAATAGATAGGAAGCACTTACTGACAGGATTTTGTCTTTACCAGAAGGCAGCACAAAAAAAAAAAAAAAAAAAAAAGTGCCTCCGGAATCATCTTAATTTTTAAAATATTAAAGCAATCTTTCTTCCTCAGTAGTCATTTGCTAACGTTTCAGGATGACAAGAGGCTCAAAAATGTTTGAGTGTAGAAGACACTCAAAAAAAGCTATATCAGCAGCACTAGATCGTGCAGTAAGAATGACATGGGGATATACTCTGAGGTACACAGACATCTTAAATAGACAGCACAGCTTCCGTGAGAGAATTGCAGAGGGTAGATCTAGCATGAGGATTTGAGAGGAGAATGAGCACCATGCTGGTCACCTTGATTCAACAGTCTTACAAACCACAAGGCAAAAGTTCACAGCCCTATACCACCTCAGTAGGGATGGAAGAGGAGAGATGGAAACATCACAATGACTACTGTATGATGAAACTGGAAACAAACATTCCCTAGACGTTGCGTGTGATGACCCTTCTAAACTCCTGTCCTTCCTGGTATAGTATTCCTTGCAAATTCTGACAGGGTAGAATTAATATAGTCTTGTGCATGGGCTGTCTGCTACAGCAGTGGGAACAACAAATGAGGAGCACTGAGAACAACTTCTGACGGGAGAAACTGTCAGGGAGAAAGCCAGTTTCAAAAATCAAGGATGTGAAATAACAGCACTGCTTCAGCAGTAAAAAGTAAAACAAAACACCTATCAATAGCCTCCTGCATGTTTGACCACTTCACAGAAAATTTTTGTAAAAGATACCTTCTATGATAGAAGAAATTAGGCTATAACATATACTAATTAGCAGTACAGTACTAGCAATTACAGCTCACAGGGTTTTAGCTAGTACTGCCATTTCTCTCACAGACAATAAAATTAAACATGCTTTTACAATCTGTTCCTTGACAAGTTTCCTGGCTTTCCTTCTATTTTGTCTCACACCAACCAAAATTGAGGACCATGTTTTAATCTTTAGGCTATACACCTGTGCACCCATCTTCTGAGCACTGCTGGGCTCAGAGCAGGGAGAAGATACTCCTTGATTACAGCAATGGGTAAACTCAGGCATAAATTGTAAGTTACTGTTTGGTCTCTGCCATGCCTGTGTACAGTGCTGATGCCATAAATCTGGTCCCCAGCAGTTAGCTCATTAAGCCAAATCCACAGCATCCACTTCCCCCATGCACGGCAGGGCTGCCAGAAGCATGCTGGGCTGTAGTCCACACAGCAATCACATCTCTGAAGCAACTGAAATGCATCAGAACAGCTTCAAGGCCGCTCCACATTAGACTAAAGGCTCTGCCACCTGCCATGGATTCTCAGGAATTCATAGGAAGAAAAACACAGCTTAAATCCCACAGGGAGCTGTGGTGCAGCTAACGTGTTGGGCCTGCAGTCCACTGTAATTCCCCAGGGGTTTAAAACTGTACACAGGAGAGTTTTCTCATTTCTTGTCACTGTCAAGTTAACCAGCAGCCCCAGTAAGTAGGTGCATACAGCTATAGACAAAATAAAAGTTTCCTGTTGCTAGCTCCAGCATGAGGAGAATCACCAAATCACCTTTTAAGGCAGCCCTTCAGAAATACAAAGCATAAGCCTGGAAGGAATCTTGAAGTCTGGTCAACATCCTGACCTCAGATAGGACCAGCTGGCCATTTACTGTTTGACATATCCTGTTGAGAATTGGTATAGGCTATTCTGTGTGACTGAATCTCCCTGTTGAACACTGACACTTACTTTCAAGTGTTTGTTAGCTACTGCATTTTCCTCATATCGTGTCTATCTTGAAATCATAGAATCACACAATGGTTTGAGTTGGAAGGGGTCTGAAATTCCCCCAGTCCAAGTCTCTTCCATGGGCATGGATGCCACCCACCAGCTCAGACTGCCCAGCACCCCGTTCAGCCTGGCCTGGAACACATCCAGGGATGGGATATTCACAGCTTCTCTGGGCAGTGCCTCACCACTATCTGACTGAAAAATTACTACCTACTGTCACTCAAGTTACTTCATAATAGGCAGAATTCAATCACAATGGACTGAAACCAAAACCAGATTTCAAATCGACTTGCCAGACTCCAATTATACATTCAATCCTGCAGTTCTCTACACTAGAGCGTTTGCTGTAACACTTATGCTTATCACATAGGGAAGAAGATGTACATGTGACCATGATTAAAAAGAAAACTCAGCTTCTCCGATATTTGTTCTTGGTGGTGCAGGACATGGAGCTAGGCAAAACAGTATATGGAAGACTGACCCTCATGCTTAGTGAACCCCGATTCCTGGAACAACATACTGATGGCAATTGGCATAACACAGAGTAAAAACTTTAGATTGTTGATTTATGCTTCTTCCAATAGCCCGACAACTCTCTTGAGAAGACAGATACTGAGATGACTAAAGTCCTTGCAAGTAACTTGGTAGATTCAGAGAATTCAAAAAATAGAGATGCAGATGTACTTACATATACTGAATAGCAAAGCGAAATGTTGGGCGACAAAGACTTAGTGTTCCATCCTTTCACATACAGTCTATCAATGATAACCTTCAAAAATAGTAGAGCATGCAGTATTTTATAGAAAATTAAACTGTTGACAAAACAAGCTGTCCAGTAGTCTGCATATTTTATTGAAATGCTATGGCTTCTAAGTAACCATAGAATGGCCTTTTCTGTCTAAAGAAAGTCTTTTCTTTTTGAATATGACTTGTATACCAGCAGATAGGCAAAAAGACTGAATATTCACCGGAAGTTAACTCAATAACATATAATCATAATAACCAAATACAGTGAAAAGTATTATTCAGTAAGACAGTGATGGTCCTAAAGGCAATATTCTTTCTGCTGTCAATATATCCCAGGGGGTATATCTGTATTGTAAGTATAACAGCATAATCATAAACAATAGCATGTTTCTAACCTGCTGTTGGAGATAGGAAAGAAAACAGAAAGCATAAATAGCCTTATTCAAATTTGATTTTGCAAGCAAGGGTTGAAGTAAATTTTTTTTTTTTTTTTTTTTTTTTTTTTTGGAAGTAAACGTCCTTGAGAGCAGCTCGGCAGAGAAGGACCTCGGGGTCCTGATGGATGAGAGACTTAACATGAGCCAGCAGTGCGCTCTGGCAGCTCGAAAGGCAAATGGGATCCTGGGCTCCATCAGGAGAGGGGTGGTCAGCAGGGACAGGGAGGTGATTGTCCCTCTCTACTCGGCTCTGAAGATTTAGGTTGGATGTTAGGGGGAAGTTCTTCACAAGGAGAGTGGTTAGGCCCTGGAACGGGCTGCCCAGGGAGGTTGTGGATGCCCCGTCCTTGGACGTGTTCAAGGCCAGATTGGACAGGGTCCTGGGCAACCTGATCTAAATGTGGATGTTTGGTGGCCCTGCTAGGCAGGGGGATTGGAACTACATGATCCTTGAGGTCCCTTCCAACCCAGATGATTCTGTGATTCTGTAAATATACATGTGGAGTCTCAGTGAGGTGAAAGTTACTAATTCAACAAACATTAATGCTAGAAGAATGTGGTGCACTATTAGACATATATGTGGATTTTTTTTAGTTTCAGTAACTAGCATAAACAGAGTACATCTGGCTTTTACATATTTTTCACTCGCCTGCCTGGAAACAATATTGAACAGAGAATTTTTCTTGAAGTACTGTTTGGCATCTTTGCTCAAAGAGCCGAACTCTCCAAATTCCTGGAGTATTACCTGTTATTTATATTGCTGTTCTCCTGCTATCATAGGCCTCCCAGATTCAAAGTGCTGCCAGGGTCTACCTTGCTCCCAGTATAAATCAGAGCAACCTCAGAGAGTAGCTGCTTCCCAGGATGCTGTAAGAGGGGAAAGAAATCAATTCTTAGCTGTGCCATGGACTCCATGCCAGCAGAGGACATCCTTCATATATTTTCAAGCAAAATGTTTCAACCTCAGAGAAGTGCATCTAGGGTGACAAGCAAGTTGGGTCTTCCTGTATTTCAAATACAGAGGAACCACATGAGCCCAAACCTGTTTATCAGACCTAAATACACCAGAAAATCTGGAGAAAGTTCGGATCTATAGATGTATTTTATAACATTTCCACTCCTGACATATCTTGCTGTGCCTGTGATTAGGAAAGGTTATGGCTATGAATCATGGCTTGAGGAAATGTGTAGTACACCTGTGTACAAGAGTAAACTAAATTCAGTTTGCTATTTATCTACTGTATTTATCTCAGTTAAGTAAACTTTGAGTTTGTCAAGATTTCCTGCTGGAAATTCTCATGATAATACGAGTATAATTGCCTTTTTATTGCCACAGACATCTGCTACAGTTTTCAAACAAAGAAAATACTTTTTTTTCTTTCCCCTGGCTTTCTCTATAACAAGAGAAAGATCCTCTCTTGTTTTGTGTGTAATAGATTACAAAGACAACATAACTGAAGGGCAACAGAAACCAACCAGCCAAACTTTCTTCCATCCATACCTGCATACCCTCCAGAAGGACAAGAAATAAAAGTGAAAATAAAAAGTAAAGGTGACAGTCCACTAAGAGAAATTCACATAGTACAGTGCAGATAGGATCCAACAGTCTACTCCTATTATCCTAGTTTTCTGCTAGTTTGGTTACATTCTTCTAGATGGTTACATTCAAAAAAAACAAACAAACAAACAAAAAAACCTGTGTAAAAACAATATGCCCAAGAAGCCATTTTACATAACCTGCTAGTCCTGGAGTCTGCAAAGGATTTCACATTTATCTTGACCTGAGAGTACCTTCCTGCCTTTTGAGCAGACCAATATGAACACATATAATCACTTCAGACAAGGCCCCGTACTACAACTGGTTCCTCAGGCAGGTTTGTGTTCTCATCCTGACTGAGGAGGATGTGGGATTCATGGCCTTTCATATTTTGGTCAATATGTTTTGGTAGGAGGAATAAGCTAAAGAAATTGAAACAAGCCTGCAGGGGAGCCTATCTGAAAATGCTGCAAGAAAAGGTGAAATCACAGAAATTGTCCTTATGGGAAAAAACTTCATCACTCAGAAAAAGGAAGAGGAAAAAGATTTTCAAATATTCATTCATTAAAATATTTCTAGAGACCTATGGTGAGGATACATGTAACTGTCTCCCTCTTGCTGCAGGCTACAGCAAATCACCATCTGCCTTAGCTCATCATCACAGTGGTCTGACTTAACTTGTCAAGCAGTCTGCTACAGGACTGATTCAAGGATATTAGAGCAATCACCCACCATATGGGGATGAGCAGGAGCCAAGTGCTGACAAATCTGCTCTTGCTTCTTGGAAGTAAGATGGGGTAAAGAGTGAGAATAACTTATAAATAAGACAGACATAGATCTGAGGCTTTTATTACTAGAGGATGCATCAGTTTTTGATCCCATTCTTGCACTAGAACCTGGACCTCTGAGGAAAAGGCTGCCAAGAAGTGTTGGCCTATCATATGAAGATACCAAACCATGCAGTTGCACATCCTATGGTCTTTTGCCTGCAAGCATGCTATGACAATAACAGAATGTTAAGGGGGTCAGGTTTGACACGTGGTACATTCAGACTTAAAGAAGAGAGCAGTAATATCAGGCTTGTACTCTAATATGGCAGGGGTGTTTCAGCAAGCCAGACTGCTTAAAGTCTGTTGCAAGGAGAATGCAGTGTATATCACATTTTCAAATGAATTGGATGCAAATGATTAGGAAAAGGTTTCCATGTTCTGGGTAGGTCAATGTCTGCTGTTAGAACAATGGAAAGGCATGCATGAACTGTAAACTGAAGAGAGGACTAGCACAAGACAAATAGTGAGATGCTTGAAATTTGAAAAAGAATGAAGTCTGAAACAGTTCAAAAGCATGTCACTTGCCAGAATGTTGGGCCTCCCAGTGATACAAAGAGACTCCCACCTGTTTGTCAAATTTGCTGAGTGATGCTCATTCTTTGTCATACAGCTTAAGACCCAAGAGGGGTACCACATAGCAGAAAAGCTTGGGTTAGAAGAGCCCTCTAGAGTCCTCACACGTATAACTATAATGAATTTATTTCCATCTTCTTATCAGTATTGAGTTAACGCTGTAGTGACAAACAACATACCTTGAGATACATGGTAGTATGCATACAACATGCTTAAAATTTGAGGATTATGACTGTTGATGTAGAGATACAGAAACTGTGATGCTAGAGAAATATTACGTATATTTTCAACGCAATGGCCTTACATGAAAAGAAGGAAATTAACATTGAAAAAGCCTGAGTTTCAAAACATGCCATTTGAATGTAAACATTGGTGTAAATGAATTAAGCACACCCCTCAGAATATGATGGATTACATAACTACATGCTGCAGTCCAGTACCTCTCTACAAACAACTCAAAGAGAACATACAGATTATTTCTGTGGAATGTTTTGAACTGCAAGATCACTAGTAGTAACTATGTTGTTCACTCTGAAAGTAATGCCTCCTATTTATTTCCATGGAGACACAAAGAGCACAATAACACTATTTTGTAGCTGAAAATTCGCTCTATCAAACAGCATTTTTTTAACGTAGTCATTGAAATTAGCTATGCATTTTTGTCAACAGTGTTCTGAAGACAAATCTCAGAATACAGCATGCATTAAAACAAAAGATAATTTTGCTATGGTAGAGGTCATAGTTGAAGCCTATATAGGCGAGTTACTTCATTCTTCGCTTCATATTTTACATATTAATTAGATTAATTAGATTAAAGAACAGAAAAATTACCAGAGCCAAGCATTTTCACTTAACCTTCATGAGAGGTTAACTTTTCCCCCCTTTTCATTAAGCATAATGTTTAAACAAACGCATTGGAATATCTAGTGACTCAGTGTGGACTAATGTTCAAATGAATGAGCACTACACAACTGGAAACATCACCACACTTGTTATACAGTGCACAGGGGAAGATCACTTACTGGTTTCAAAAATTTTGGCTTTTAATCAAATCTTTCCTCAGTGTTAACACTCACTCTTATAATCAGCTACCAGGGACAGTAAGCGAAGTGGATGCACTAGCTGGTAGCCATAACTATGCTTTGGTTTAAAATGTGCTCACTCTATTTGTTTTATTAATAGCTCCAGAAATTTGAACTAATCCTCTAAAAGAGGAAAGAAAAAGTACTCAACTGTCTGAAAATCATCATGCAACACACATATATACAATACTCACTTTACAGGGTTGATACTGCATTATAACATTACCAATAATTACAGTTTTTCAAGGCACAGAAGAAGTTAAATTGGTGGTAAAGGTCTTGAAAAGTGAATCCAGGTGTGCATTCACTTACATCCTACAATCCCTAAGAGCATCAGGACTGTTCAAGACTCCACAGATATTTCAAATGATTTCAAATTAATAACAAAAATCCAGGGGTAGGCCGTGGATCTCTGAACAATACATCTGCAAAATAGGCTATTTCTTCACAGCTGAAATTAAAGATATTTTGGGGGGGAAAAAAAAAACAAAAACAAAAACACAGTTGTGCCACACAGCACAGTGCAGTTACTGCATTCATTTTATTGTCAAATAGGTTTGACAAAATTGAAGTCTATTGACGTCAGACTGAGAATGATCTCAATAACAAAGTGGAAGTGTACAGAACTAGTAATACTTTCTAGCCAATTTTTTTTCCAAACTTCTGTATGCACCTAATAGAATACATCTGTACTCAGTCCCAGCCATGAATCAGAGCAGCTGTGAATGGAGCTTGAAGCTTCTTTTCAATTTGTTTTCTTCATTAGGCATTTAAGAGGACATATAACCTTCTTGAATCCAAACATCAGATGTCTCAATTTAGTATCGTCCATGATATTATAGTGGTAGAAAGGATGCAAGATTAATGTAAACAACGTACTTCTGATGTGTTGCCCTGTACACCTTTGAATTTCTTCCCCCTGAAGTTAAAATAGCTCCTTCCCCATCAGATTTAAGCAAGCATGCACACCTCAAATCTTTTTCTCAGAGGTTAGAAGCTTCTGTCATCATTAAGTTCTACTATACATTTTTTCCAAGAGGGAAACAAAACAAAAAAGGTACACTGAAAAATAAGTATAATCACACTACCAGACTGACTTAATATTCTGGGGATATAAAACAGAGATCGATGAAGGGTTAGGCATCACAAGAGGTAGAGCCACTTCTGAATGGAGGAGGCAGAACACTCTACCTATTCCTTCGCACCCTTCATTTCCACCTTTCCCACACAATCAGTCCTGCCAATGCAACACTATGGAGTTACAACCTATACTAGCTCCGTTACAAACAAAACCCAACTTCCTTTTGTCTATGTGGCCTTAAGCTCTGTAGTGGCTTTGATGCCATAGGTCTGGGGTGAATGTGGTTGCACAATTTCTAGCAAAATCAAGTTCCAAACTATGATTGAAATTACTAATATCATTGTGTTTTAGTTTCAGCTGGGATGGAACTGTTTTCTTCAGAGCGTCTAGTATGATGTTGTTCATTGATTCTAGGAGAAAAACATGTTGGTAACACACTGATGTCTGTAGTTGCTGCTAAGCAGTGTTGCACAGAGCCAAGACCAATCTCAGCAAAGGGTGCAAGGAGTTGGGAAAGAACAGAACTAAGACAGCTAACTGAAACTGGCTAAAGGGATATTTCATATCATATAACATCATGCAGGAGTTCTGAAGGGGATGACAGTTTAACTCTCTCTCTCTTCCAACACTCAGGGGGCTGAGCATCAGTGAAGAATTCCTTTTGCATCACTTGTTATATACATCCATATATAAATACTGTCATAACTATTATCCTTTTCTCCATCTTAGTAAATACTTATCTCAATCCACAAGTTCTACTATTTTTCCCCCCAGTTCTCCGCCCTATTTCAATGCAAAGAAAGGGAGTGAGCAAACAACTGCATGGTGCTTAGCCACCTGCTGGGTTAAACCACAACACACTGAAATTCTCCTATTTCTAATGATAAATTGAAAATGACTGCTTAGATTATCTCTGTAAGTAATGGGATCACATTAAGACAAGTGCACTGAAGATAAATATTGGATATAAACTCCCGACAGCAAGACATCTTAGAATGAGAGATGGGAAGAAGTTCTATTCCTTGAATTATATTGATTCAGAAGATGAAGAAAAAAGAATAGAAATTGTAGAACTAGAAAAAGCATTGGACTTGCCAAGAGCATAAGGGAAATGGAGAAAATGGAGAGAATACCATGACCTAAATAACTTGCACTATAAGTCTGTATCAACTCAATCCAGATAACTTGGCCTAAAAAACTTCTGATCATAAATGGACCAGTGTTATTGAAATTCATGAGGAAAAAAAAATGATCAGGAAAGAAATGTATGCCAATTAACTTTTAGCCATCCATCCACTTTCAACTGCTACAGCGTTCAAAATTAGACCATAACAACGAGGATCTGCTTTCAGATATATCTAGATTTACTGATACAGGAGTTCTCTGAATGAAATGAAACAAAGGAGGTCAACTTTGTGAGTTTATAAGCAGAACCCAACAGCTGCAAGAGAAAATTCCTTGCTTGTACAGAGGTATAGTTTACACGGCATTTGTCTGGAGAGAGAAGTGTTATTATGCCTCAGAATTGAATGTTGAGCCTTTTATCAGCCTTCTTGTTCTATTTCTCATTATTAAACTGACTACTACAGAGTGTCAGTGTAAGAAGACAGATAATGTCTTCTTCATTAGTATTTACTGTAACGTACACCACACTAGTATCCACATCTTTTCCCAAGGAAAAAGATATAATTTTTAAAATGTTTCTAATTACTCCAATATGATTTCCTGGATAACTACTGAATTACAATTGAAAGCTTACATTCAATTTAATAATAGCTATAGAAAAAAGGACAAGAGGAAATGGTTTTAAGATGAGGGAGGGAAGATTTAGGTTGGATGTCAGGGGGAAGTTCTTTACTGTGAGGGTGGTGAGGTACTGGAACTGGCTGCCCAGAGAGGCTGTGGATGCCCCGTCCCTGGAGGTGTTCAAGGCCAGGTTGGATGGGGCCCTGGGCAGCCTGGTCTAGTATTAAATGGGGAGGTTGGTGGCCCTGCAAGTGACACAGGGTTGGAGATTCGTGATCCTTGAGGTCCCTTCCAACCCGGGCTATTCTGTGATCCCACACTGAAGTTCTGAAAAAACTTGATGCTTATGCAGTGATGCTAACTACAGATATAAAAGGAACAACCTCTCAAAAACTGGCAAGAGAAGTAATGGTTTCACATATTTTCCAAACTCTCATTTTCTGCAGTTTCATACAGAAGGAATTATTTTCAAGTTATACAAATATATCTTCTTTATTTATTGAAGCTATACTGCTAGCGTAGGGTGCAGGAATGTAATGGTTATGCTGCATTTCTTTGAATGGCTACTGACAGCTTCTTGCGACTCATGCCAGTTCCCCTTCCCACCTCTTCTAAAGCAATGAGGTGTTAATGTCTCATTATGTTTCACACAGTGGCAGGCAGGCTAATTTTAAGCTACCTATTAACAATAAATAATTTAAAGACTCCACAGGGATTCAGCATTTCCCTATTGCTTGAGAAGTCACCTGACAACTTGTGAAGTGGGAGCCAGCCACTGCTGGTGCCAGGAACCTCACAGCAACAGCAGGGGAATAAAAAAATTCAAAAGTTGTAATAAAGCAAATCTAAGATATCCTAGACTAAGCAAGGCTAAATCTAGCCTTTCAAGTGTATTTACATTACATATATATATACACCACGCTGTTCTGACCTTTGAGGTCACAGCAATTTTCTGAACATCTCAGAGCAAAGGAGCACCCAAATCTGGACTTAGAGTTTCAAGAAAGTCAACAGAAAGCAGTTCAGATATCAAATCTAGTGATCTCCTAGGCTCCAATTGCAGAGTAAACATGGCCTTGGCCAGATAGAAACCAGGAGAAGGTGACTAACCTACTAGTAAGCAAAGTGAATATGCCCTTAAGCCATGCCTGCTATTTACTATGGCCAGGAATTTACGATCAAGACCTATTTCAGCTTCCAGGCTAACTATCAATAGCAACAAGGATGCTCTGCCTTCTTAGCATATGCATTCCTTGTCAAGGTACAAGGTAAACATACAAATATCCACAGTCTTATGCCCTATTGAATGAAGAGCTCATTTGTTATATGGTTAAAATTGTAAAAGTGGTTGAGAACAAGCAATGGAAAAGATAATGGGGTACCTCAACTGTAACTTAAGGAGCCTGCTGATTGGTCCAAGCAGCCACATCCTAGAAACCATCCTAGAAATTGAACCAGTTGAAGATGGAATATTTCCTCAAACTACACCGGGGTCAGAAGCACACTGCGAAGATGATGTACAGTCTTCATTCCCATAACCACCAGGAGGCACTATGCATGTGTAGAAGCATTAATTAGGGGTCAGGTTAAGGGCATAGAATGGGTATGGAATATTATAACGAACTCCCAGAAATAACTGTAATAACCATTCCTTGTCTTAGAAATACTAAGAATATGCATGCCCCTTCCCATAAATAAGGATGTTTACCTGTGCCCAGCAGACATGCAGTGCTGAATAACCTACCTGCTTTAAAATTATCTTGTAGTTATAGAGTTTGACTCCGCAATTCAGTTTGGCAAGCCAGCCAGAAGCACCTTTACTGGTCCTCAGGGCTGGTTGGACCAGGGGCACATCCCAAAAAAGTTCAAAGAAGACTCCCCAGGCCAACACACCCATAGTGGGGCAGGGAAAGAGCTCTAGCATAGACCAACTGTGTTACAGGTACAGGGGACCCCTAAGTCATGAGGAGATGTTTAATTCCACAACGCACCATAACTTGCCTGGTCCCAGACTTCAAGTGCCTACCCTGCTTGTACTCCACCACTGAAAACTTGAAACAATTCTACAAGAAAACAGATAATAGTCAGCTACAGCAGCCTTTCTACTCCACTTCCACTAGGAACAGATCCAGAATCACTTAAAATCAGTTATTTCAGTCTGTAACATGATGGAAAATGCAACAAAACAGCGGTAATCCACAAGATTGTGGATCCCAATCCACAAGAAGTGAGGATCTGCTCAGACACAACAGCAGTAGGCAAAAAAACAAGATAAAGAAACTGCTTACCTTCAGAAGGGCTATAAGATCATCAAGGAGACAGGGATCCCCAGATAATAACACCTCACTTCTACTGCCAATCCCTAAATGAGGTCTGGGAAAGAACAGATCCTGGCTCTATTTCTTCTAATCACTCAGGTGCATTGCACACACCTGATCTCCCCTAGGTTGGCCCTGCCTTCTCACCAGGTGCTCAATCACTGGTTCAGGCTATGACTTAGCATTTCCACTACACAGTCTTATACATAAACAGCTGCCACCGTTTAGCCACTGTAATGTCACCATTACCAATCAGTTTTGTGCCATAGATACATTAATAGAAATTGAATAAGCACATGCATAGAGCATCTTGTCTTCCTGAATCATAAATAATGCAATTGTCAATATTATCTATGAAGTAGTGACAGCAATTCTCCGGCAACAGTTATTCATACATCACAGGAAAACCATGTATAAATCCTATATTTTTATCTTGAGCCTGGTCAAAATAGAATAATGCTTCTGAAAGAAGATGAAGACAGTGTAGCTCTGACCACTGCCTTGAGATAAAATTCCTTGACAGTGGAGATGTTTATAACTGCCCTAATCAGATGCTTCTCACACAATTTTATTCCACTCTACACCTTGTGTTGTAAATCAGGCTTTAAAAAGCAGATAGCAACACTGTGGTCTTATGTCAAGAATGAGAGATGTTTGTTTAATGGGCCTTTAAATTGTTTGTTTTAGGAAATGCATATACCACTGCCAATGCAATAGCTTCCCACCATATTTTTAACTTGCTCTTTCTTTAAGTAATAAAAGAATGACAGGATAAGAATCAGTATAAATAACAATAAAGCAGTGCTTGTTTGCATTTTCCCAAACCGCCATCTCCTAGCTCTGTTGTAGTCAGTCTATGGTTGCAGTCAGTTTTTGGAATATGCCTTTTTCAAAAACTCAAGAACAACATAAAACACTGATTGTATCACTCTGAGCTGAACAGCTGCTGTTTAACTTAAGAGTAGTAGTGCATCCTTAAATTAAAAAAAATCAAGTGTTGAAGGCCACACGCAGTTATTAAAGCTATGAATTTAAAGCACATTTAGGGGACACGGTGACTTGATTTTTGCCTTTCACTGTGTCTTGGGTTCTCTTGATGCTCCTCTAAAAAATTCAGCTTTCCCTCCCTGACCCCTTAATTTTCAAATTAAGGTTGTTCGACACATTTTGTTCTCAACAGATTATCTCATTCAGCTATGTTTATATCTCAAACTTTTCATAGAGCTGATGAAATACACTTCTTTTTATGAACATGTATCAAATTATAGAGACCTTATTTTTCCATATTTCTATGAAGACTATTTCAGATGTATGTGAGTTCAACTAGATGGATTTTCTTTTCCTTATCATGTCATGAGTTAAATAAAAACATAGTTTATCATAGTTTATTTTCCCCTATTAGGTCTACCTTGCAAGTCTTTAAAATATAAGATAGTTTCAAATAGAATCTGTTATTTACTGCAGAACAATCTGTTTTGTTATATTTTACTGCCTGGGAATGTATCTGTGCAAATTCATTCCAGGAGGAGTAAGCAATTTCAGGTCAGAAAATTGCCCAGGATGTGGACAGAAAACGAAGTTTGTTTGAGTTCCTGCTGCACCTTTCAGTTTTCCTTAAAAGATACAAAATAATTGTGTTGATTAACTTAAACTAATTATGGAAAGTTCCAGAAGACCTTGAATAACCAGAATTTCCCTAAAGCTAACAGCAGGGGATGCTATATATACTTTTTTAGAAGTGTGTATTACAGAAAATATTGGAAAATAACTGTTTTCTGAGTGAGAAAAAGTTGATTAAGCCTGAATTGAATGGAAGAGACAAACACTCCTCCCTTCTTGAAGTATAACTAAGTCAAAAGACAGGAAAGTTTGATGAAAAAGTTAAGAAAATTAGTTGTACAGAAAAACGTTGATCTTGTTGGTTTTTTTATTTTTTTATTTTTTGTTGTTTTTGTTTTGTTTTTTAAGTCACACATATACTAAGCTTTGTCCACATATTAGTAAAAAAATAACAGATATTAAATAGAATTTGTATTCAGCACCAGAGGAAAAGTTTCAGAGAACTCTAAGCAGGCCAGGATAAGTTTAAAGAGAAGTAGAAAGAAACAGACAGAAAGCTTTTGAGAAATGGAAGAAGTTATTTATTGGAAAGAAAGCCATGTTCATAGATAATAATAGGTATTAAGAAAGAATGATTAGAGTTTGTATGAACTTTTGCAAAGAGATGAAAATAAGCAGTGAATGGTTCCTCCACTACACAAAATCAGACAATAACAACAAAAAAATGAAGCTGATATAGAAGAGGCAAAAACTGAAAATGATTCAGATATCTTCTATTAAAAATTAAAAAAAAAAAGAAAATAAAATAAAACAAAAAAAACACCTTTGATTTTCCATAAAACTTCTATTTCCAGACTTGATGTTAGGGGCACGATAGCTTACATAGTTTTGAAGCAGGAGAAAAACAAAATGCATTTGAACAAAATATCAGCTAACATCTGCTAGAGTATTATGAAAAGAACAGGCATAGGAAATAATGGGTTATTTCATGAGGATTTTTAAGATATGTAAGGTCAGGTAGCATGATATACTATTAGCAGCTCTATATCTGTATTTAAGGACTGAGGAAGAAGTGATTCAGCAAGGGAACAAGCTGTTCATCTTAACTGCTAGTACACCAAAGCTTCAGGAAGGGAATCTGAAGGAGAGAATTATGACAGGAGAAACGGAATAAAAAAACTGTGACAGAAGTAGAGAGTAAGATAAAATGTAACACAGGTTTGCTAAAAGTAGGTGTTGACAAACTTGACATCTTTCTTTGATAAGATTTTCTAGACAAGGGCAACACAGCAAATCTAATCTACTTGATACTGCGAAAAGCAATGGATTTTCTTTAACATGGCATTTATAGTGAGGAGAGAGAGAATGAAAAAAATGAGTTGCAGAGTTAGTAGCTGTGTGACCAGTGTTATTCAGGCACCAGTTAAAAGGCAACAGTTAACTGTGCTGACAAGGCACCAAGACAGAAGGGTGTCAAAAAAGACTCAGTGGCTGACCTCGTGACACCCTTTGTTTTCATTCCATATAGGAGCATTTATTGAGAACCATGTAATTCAGAAAACATTACTGATATGCAGGAGGATCAAAACGCTGAACAGGAGATGGGGGCTACATATGCATTAATGTTTTCACTTGCAGAAGTTACTGCCCTTTTTAAGGCAACCTTTTGAAAAGACAGTTAGTTCAGGTCACAGCACCGAGCTAGGGCTGGTATGAGTTCTCTGCCTTTATATCCCAAATGCATAGAGCATGGAGGTCACCCAGCAAATCAGTTCCTTTTGCATGGTGCTACTTCACTAATGCAGATGTAACACCAGTATCTTTGAGGATTTCGTTTACAGAAGATGTGGTGTACATAGTTCCACTTCATACATCTAAGATTAAGAAGAAGAGCTCATATTTGGAAACACTGGAGCAGAAAAGAGGTAACTGCTTCATCAAAAGAGGATTTTTAAACACAGAGATTACATAGAAAATGTGCTTGTGAGGAGGGAAAATTTCAGGGCAGACTACCACAGAAAAAATCCATGCCTGCACATTCATTTGCCTACATGTTATTCCTAAATTGGGCTACCACATCCTTTGCTCTCAGTGCCTCTCCCTGACCCCTGTAGCTCTTATCCACTACATTCAGGTGGGATCATGCCTCTTCTTGGACTCCAGCAGAATGCACTTATCAGCTCTTGGCCAACGGAGGCCAGTTTTTGCGAGAGGAGAGGGGCACTGCAGCACTGCCACCACCAGGCTCTGATAGCCACCAGAAGCAGATGCTGGCTTCATAGGAGCAGCTGAGCTCTTCTCATGGTGCCTGCAGATCAGCATTGACCATCTGGGCACAGAGCATGGTAGTTCTCCATCAAGCAGTGTGTGCACAGGCATGGGCTGTCCATTCCTTCACTCAGCTGGATTGTCTTCTCAACTGCTGATTCTCACTTAAGCTGCTGAGAACAAATACTCTTTTTTCAGGTTATTTTCCTTGAGCAGAGAGATACAGGAGTATCTCCACCACTCAGCTGGGAGGTATTTATGGCATCTCTAAGTTCAGAGGCTGGCAACTGCTGTCTTCCACCTGTGAACTGATTCAGACACCAGTGAAAGGCAGACTGTCAAACTCAGCAATTCAGTATGGATCAAAAAAGATGACAAAGAAAATAAAACACATACAGCCAAAAGCTGAAAATCGTGGCTATGCCCTTACTCCATAAGAGAGGAGAGAAGAGGATAACTATGCAAGAATGTAAAAGTTATTAAATGCAGAGGAAAAATAAATGGTTCAGCATAGTCAGTCTCCTCCTTTGTTTCTGAATTAGTCATCCCATTCTGTTAGCAGCCACAGTAAAAACTTTATGTCTATCTGGAGTCTTTGAAACATCCAGTCAGAGCCAGTGTTATGAACTATTCGTATTTACCTCATAGATTTTTAAGATATGCTTGAAAGATGTAAGAATTAAAATAATTTTTCAGTCTTGGTTAAGAATTCAGAGGGGTGAAAATGTCTTTGAGATCTACCCAGAATCTTGGGATGTTAACCTACTTAAGTTACATTATGTTCAAAAGCTATGGAGCTGGATGACATGGAAAATCCAGAGGGAACTAGATCAATCAGAAATTAAGATTTCCAGATGTCATTTTATAAATTAATGATTTGATTTCCCATTTGTACAAGTGCTGATGTAAACAACAATTCACAGAAATCTTGTAGTATAGAAGAAACTAAAGGGCCCAGAAGCATATTTTAATGTTACAGTAGTTCAATAACTATATTTATTGAAGTTCCTTAGGGGGTTGTGTAATATGTATCATAGACATAGGACTGTGTTTTATGGGCCAAATTCTACTCTCAAACTTCATTAGAGGTTTTAAACTAGCATAATGGAAAATGAACATGCTTCCTCTGAGATCTCTGAATCTCTTATAAAATAAGAACAAAAATGGGAACTAAAAATATTTACCATCTGGAATGCATGTACAGTCTACAGAAAAAAGATGCAGAATAGCCACC